GTAACACTGGTTGTAAGTGTAATGATATCCTCTTTTTATGGGGTTGTTTTACAATGGCAATGGTGAAGAAAGCCCCCTCCCCCCCCCGAACAAAACAACGAAAACCGAAAAACCGAAGTATCAAGTAAAAATTAAACGTTGAGCAATCTCAAACCCCGGGAAAATGAGAACAGGGTGGAAAAGTTAGTTTGGGTGCTACGGGAATGAGTTTTCCTGCCTCCTCTTGATATACTGGGATTGGTCTTTTACGAAACTGTACTTGATATTTTTTTGCACCGGCCCCTCCAGTAGATCCCCAGACGATCTCGGTGATGTTGACAAATATCAAGCGAGCTTGCTTCGTCGTGATTTACATAAAAAAAACCCTTGTAAACATGTATGCGTTCAGGCATATCCAGTACCTTGATGCAAACAGACTTAGAAACAACGCAACAACAATGTATCATACACGAGTTAAACCATAGTTTTTTTAAACAAATGCTGAGAATATGCATCATAACATAAATCTAAAAAGAAAGTCAAAGTAAATAAAGCTGAACTGAAGCTTGGGTGAAAATTGAACGGCATGATCATAATAGCCACACCCAAAAGCAAAAAGATTGCTTTATAGACTGTGAAAATTCAATTACAAAATTTTGATTTCCAACTTTGCTTCACTTTCTCGGAGAATTGCTCTGAAGACCGATAGCAAAGTGTCACGCACAACTTCGCGACTGAAACATGAGCGTTTTCCCCAAATTTAAGTACTCATAATTCTTGTCCCAGTCTTCAATAAGAAGTAATTCTTAGTTACGGTACCTTTAGGAGGATGTCAAAGTAAAACTAAATTAGTGCTTCAGTCTTTCAAACCCTGTTTTCATTTCCATTAACATTTTAGGTTTTTTTTTTTTTTTCATTTTTTTCTAACTTTTACTTTCGTTGTGGTAATCGAGAGGATGAGGGATCTGTACAACAAACAAAACAAACAAACAAACTTTATTAATGTTTTTACAATTGAAAGAAGAACATGTACAACTCGCATATACCGTACGCTAGTCAAGGCGAGTTGTGCAGGAAGAAAAAAGAAAAAGAAGAGAATAAATCAATTTGTAAGCTTCAAATAACAGACTATGAACAATAACAGAGTTATACAATAATTAGCATCCAGAGATAAACATGGTTATAGGATTGATTGGTGTGATAGGTAGCTTAGTAAATTAAACAATCTAAACTAAACACGGCAGGCGAAGACATGAATAGTTACAAAAAGTTATGTTAAATATAAATTAATTTTGGATAATAAATTAGGTGCCTCAATATAATCGTCTTCGCCTTCTAGAGCTGCGAATAGAGCTTTGCGAATTGATTTCGTGAACGCCAGTTTTGGTAGACTACATAATTGAGATGGGAGACACTTCCACGCTTTCGCGCCAAAGCTGAAAAAAGAATTCCGCTGTTAATTCAGACGTGAAAATTTAGTATGATATTTGCTATAAGATGAAACGCTCGTATTATATGAATGAACCGAGCTGGTCCTCACAAATTCTTCAGAGATAGCGTCTGGAGTAGAACTGTTTGAAGCATCAAAGTAGAGAAAGGAACGAAGTGTCTTAGACGAGCTATTACTCCAACAATTTCACTAATCTTCACGGTAATATAGTCTACGTGGTATTTCCAGGACAGATGGTCGTCAATCAGAACACCTAGGAATTTAATACATTCCTTACATTCTAGGCCCGACGATATATTGGTGCTGTTATTTATAGCTTTTGAGTTTAATCTCATAATTTAGCGATTGCTGTGGAGGTCCAAAGATAACAAAGTTTGATTTTTTAATGTTAAGTGTCAGCTTGTTTTCATGCAGCCATTCACATACATTTTTCAGCTCTTTGTTAAATGACGGTTTCCTCGAGGGACTTAGGATGTCTATAAGCTTAAAGCATTTTCGTCTCATCCGCAAATAGAAAAAATTTAACTTCTGTGAAGAGTTTGGAATATCGTTAATCAATTACAGGCTGTACTGACTATTTTAAGCAAATTAAGAAAAAATCTACTGAAGATATATCACAAAATTCTGTCCAAAATAAATCAGCTGGAAGTTTTACTTTAAGTATCATTAATCATAACAAACTTTTTCAGTTTTTCCTGAGTTAAATGCAACATTGATTGGATTTGTCTCCCTACAATAGGAGTAAGGTTCCAAAACCGTGGCTCCCGTTCTTTTATAGTCAGCGGTTGCTACAAAGTCTTCAAAAATGGAGCCCTTCCTCCGCAGCCCATTTTGATCGAACACTGCTGTTTGGTGGCTGAGGGAAATTCCTGGGACATCTTAGTCAAATGCCGGCCACATTCTAATCAACGTAAGAAGAAGAGAAACTGGCGAAATGTCATGGAGGTCTACCCCGATGCAAAGGTAGAGAGATGTCACAACGATATTGAGTTGACGTTGCCCGTCTTGAGGAAAAATCTCGAGGTTGCTGCTTTTGGAGTTCCGAGAAAAGATGACCAGAAACGAATGCAAATGACAATCTTTGGAAAAGAGCCCACTCAAGGCTGCGACTGGAAGATTCGAGTATATTTGATAGATGATTCAGCAATGGCGTTTAAGGTAACAAAAAGCATGTATCCATAATAATGATAATAAAATAATAATACTAATTATGATATAAGATGAGATTGAAATAGGAAGCCGGAACAACTTTGATTGCAGTCAGCGAGATGGCGCAATTAAAACGTTAGTTGGTCATAATCCAAGAGCTCAGCAGAAGGAGGATTCAGTTTCTAAACTGAACTAAGACGGTACAAATTACAAAAACAAACATGGAAACAAACGAAAGAGCGCTCTACAGCTACATACTAATTTATATTTACCGAGATCAGATTCTTTCTCCCAATTTTTATTTCATGAAGAACTGCCTGTGATTTCTACCTAAATGTCGTGCAATAATATTCATAATAATGTCTTCGTTTATCCATTCGTCAGTTATGCATCAAATTTTTATACATTTTGTTTATTATTATTTTTTCCTTTGATAACAGGCTGTTTGCAAGAAAGAAGCAGAAAAAGGAAACAGACTGCTGACAACTCTCTCAGGCCTATTTGTGTCCAACAGCAAGGAAAGCATTACAATTGAGTTTACAGATATGGATCCAGGATGGCAAATAAAAGGAAATAACGTGAAGGTGAGCTGACATCTCTGCTAGCGCGGATGCGTTCTCGAGTGCTCTGCTATAAGTATAGAACTATTTGAACAAAGGAGCGTTTTACAAAGTAAGGCGTATCGAGGATGAAAAAAATTGAGCTAGCATGTAATATAAAACTGGTATAAAAGATAATCAGACGATCGTAATTGCACCGAATAATTCCCGGATTAACTTTTCTGTGCTCCGTAGGTTGGCGACAAGTTTATAGCAGTTTAATTCAAAAGCTTAAGGAATTTATTTTTCCGTTTTTGTGTCTGTATTTTAGGCGATAAGTACAAGAGATGCCTGGAATTCACCTGAAAACTCAGCAAATTTCCCCCTCTGTGTTTTTGATGTAAGTCACGTCGATCGAACCAAGCAGCAGTTCTTTTGCGAAATAACAGTGACACATGACCATGACAGCGCCAATACCGAGATGGTGGCTTTTTTCGAGCAGGTAAATCAAAAGCAAGATATTAAAAAAAAAAAAAAATCAAGAGGATAATGACAATAATAAGATAATACTCAGTATGGTAATAATAATGATGATGATAAAAATAATGATAATTGAAAGAGATTACAATCCAAATCCTACGTACGTATTCTTGCTAACAGAAGATCTTCTATGCTACTCATCAGTCTCAATTCGACAAAGACTGTTTCATGAAAATTTCAGGCTCCAATCAAGTTTTCCGGGTTGTTCTTCGTGATGATAATGATGCTTACAAAAATTATCAATAAATATGATAATAATGACAATGGTGATGACGCTTATTATGGTAATTATAATAACAATAACAATAATGACATTATGATATTAATCAAATGATTAGCTTGATTAGGGATCCAATTTTAGTCGAGCCGTCAAGCTTTACATATATTTACGTTTAAAAAACAACCAAAAAGTACAAATTGGAGTTGGAAACTGTGGGCCAGTTATTTACTGTTGAATCGAATTGAATTGAATTGAAGAACCTCAAATACCTTTGTTTTTCAGAAAAGAGGCTTAGGAATCAAGCAGCCAAAGAAACATAAGAATGCTCCGATGAAACCTCCACACGGTAAGTTGTCTTTGTAATTCAGGGGAGGAAGGAAATAAAGTGATATTTGTAATTGTGTAATCTAATGTGGTATGTCTAACGCTTTTTAACAATTTATTACATCAACCACTTATTGATTCAACCGTTGCTAATACGTACATTACTGATGCTGCGTTTGTTTTTATATTCATAGTTGTATAGCTACTGTACATTTACATAGTGGTTATGATATTTTTAATCTTAGGAATAAGTCTCTAAAGTATAGTCGATCTACCGACTTTCAAATTCTCGCTTTATGACTAGGAAAGACCAGCCAGCTGAAATATATTTTTCGCTGCTTGGGTCCCACACTGAATCGAGGCTCCAGAGACGCTTTCAAAGTAAGAAATAAATCTTAGTATACATATCGCGAATATTTCTTTCATTTTCCAACCGGTTTCGTTTGACAACCGCAGACTACGTCAAATGAGGCCCACCGATACAACATTAAACGTTAAAAAAATTAAGTAAGAATCCCGTTATTTTTTTTTTTTTGTTTGTTTGTTTGTTTGTTTTTTTGGTGATACTTAATAAAGCAATATCCAGTATTTGAAAAGGATAATTTCCTACATCATATGACCCGTAGAACTTTGCACGCACTAGCCCTTTTACTATAAAACATTATTACTTTAAAAAGATTCTCCCATGTGCGACGGAACATCTTAGTCAACAAGAAAGAAAATGTTACCTTCTTTAAACTTCCTGGCACGGGATGTGGTTAATTGAAAAAATCGGTCGTATACTAGATGTAAAAAAGTTCTTAACATGCCTAGTTGTGTTCGTTGTGTGGCGTTATCAGAGTATAGTCATGAAATGAACAAACGTCATTCTTAATGAAGGTGTGCTTCCCTCTAACCCTAAACTAGAACTTATCTCTTTTTTGCAGGATCCAGTGCTAACGTGACTGATTTCAGTTCGTAAAAGAACTGAGAGAGTTTATCAACATGGAACTAGTTCGACAAACCCACGCTTCCCAGTGTCACCTTTCCTCTGGGGAAACGCTAACAGTTAGCGATCAAACAAGATGTTATCCTCGGGCGTCCTTTAGGGAAATTTAGGCTGTATTTGCACGCGGTCGACATAACAGTTTAAATAGCGGGTAGAGAAAACGGTTCACATTATTTTGAGGACACTGGCTTAGCAAGTTTTTTAAAAGAGTATCTCCGAGAAAAGACAATCATGCTGAAGTCAGCCGAGTTGACAAAATTTACACCCCTTGGTAAACATTAAGTTAATTAAGGGCTCTCCAATAAATTGCAGTTTATTAAGGCAACCGTAGAGCTTTATAGCGCAATTCATATTATGGTATTAATAATTTCGTTCTTTTTTACATGATGTTAAGGTCGTAAGTTTCTGTGGCGACTCTTTCAATTTCATTTAAGCAAACTGTCTTATGTAACCTCTCATGAGTCTAATACAAGTAGTTTAGTTTCCCGAAATTTTATCCGCTTGTAGAATTTGCGAGCATTTGGTACGAAATTAAACATGAGGTTGGAGTTAAACTCGATCATATGTTGCCGGCTTGCTTTATATTCTAGGTAAGGTAAATCAGTACCCCTCAAAGCTCTCACAATTCCGCGTTTCTAAATTAAAGTTACAGTTATTCGGCTAACTCAGCAAAGCAATTTCGAAACAATAAAGGTGTGCTGAAAAAGAGCTGGGGTGTTAAACAATGACAACAGTGATATAATAACAATGATAATGACAACGACAACGACAAAGACTATAACAGTAAAACGGAAGGATTTTCTGGGAAATGTTGAAATAAGGATGGTTACCTTTCATTTTGACATAAAATTCTAAAGAAAACAGAACAGATTCTATTCGTAAAACTCAACACGCCGCACCTTTTCATAAGTGTCTTAAATGCAGTTTTAGACATGAATGTCCACTTTCAGATAATAGTGTCTTAGATGCAATTCAAGTCACTAGTGTCCGATTTCAGACACTAAGGGCCGGTTACATACACTGTTGTTCAATTTTAGACACTGATGTTCGATATTATACAGTAATGACCAATTTTAGACTCTTGTGTCCGATTCCAAACGCTGTTGTCCTATTGTTGACACTGATTTTAGCTAACAGTGCTCTTTTTGGACAATAAATTCCATTTTTATGTCCTTATAGACGAATGACTAACGTTTGAAACTTCAGCTTCTTTTTTTTATTTGCGATGGCTTTTAATATCATATCAACCCACTTATATATTTTGCCACACCGACGCAGCCCAACTTTCTTTAGAAACTTCCCCCCCCTCCCCCCCATCCCCATAGTCTCCGGACTTTTCCCTTATCCAAAACTTTATCATTCCTCTCTTCTTGAAGTGAAGGGAGTTAATAATAATCTCCACCGAAACTTTCAAAGAAAAGGAAGACGTATCCACTCATCACTTCAAACGACAAACAAGATACACTTTTTTATTTATTATTATAAAGACGAAGTTATTTTACTTAAAACTACTGTACATTCAATCTCACATTTAAAAATACAGTACAGCAACATTTAACGTATCCTAAAGGTACTGCTAAATCTAAGAATAGACTAGAAAAATTTCCTTTTCAATATGGAAGACGCTAATTTGATTCAGGTGTGATTCAATACTGTCCCATTTTGGGACATTCTAACGAAGCGAGAACCAATATGGGAGAATTAAGCAAGTCTTTAATAAAGACACTAATTAATGACTAATAACAAAGAGAAGGGAGGTGAATGAAGGCAAAAAAAAAAAAAAAAATACCGTGATAGTTATCAAGGAAAAAAGGCTACGTAATTATTTATGATGTGATACCAGGTTTTTTTTATTTTTTTTTTTGTACTTCTTTTTTTCTTATCCCTGAATACTTTACACACCCACTGCATAAACGGATACACTAAAATATAAATATAGAGGCAAGACCGATAAATATAGAGACCGACCAACGTGCTTCGTCTTAAAACTTATCTACGTTGTATCGGTCTTGCCTTTATATCTATATTCGTTATTTTGGGCCGATTAGATCATTGCTGATCCAACGTACAAGAGTCGGATTATCGTCCACGGTTGCTCGCTGAAAATTTCACTAAAATATATACTTGTAAGACGTTTGATGCCTACTAAGGATATTACGCTACTTGCATCTCTCATCAATATGACAAACAGCGCTTGTCATTATAAGGATTTGCTGAATCATTCGCTTTGAACAAGTCACAGTATTTATAGTTAAGCTAGCAAGTAGGAGTATAATTATTCTCAAGTCAGTATCACTTCTAACTTCTCACTTCTACCTTGCAAGTTAAATCCCTTTCCATAGTGCATTCTGATGTTGAAATTTCAGCTCTTTTTAACTTTTTGGAGTGTGATTTGAGTTGGCGACACGTGACAGCAGTCACACATTTTATAATCAGTTGTCACGAAAGATGAAAAGGAACAAACGATCGCAAGCTACTATTTCCTAGATGAGATTTACTAAAAATCAGATGCGGTGGTTGAATAAAAGATGACAAATGCCAAAAATGGAAATTATTCCATTAAAAGCTAAGTTAAATCGTTTTAAATGCAAAAAAATTAAGTTTTCAGGTTTACGAGCATTTTAATATTATGCCGGTATGAATACTGAACTGTAACACAGCTTAAAGTTAAGCAAAAAAACCACCAGTCTGTAGAAAAGATTTTTAATTGTTTTCGCTTTAACCTATGCGATCATCGATGACACCCATTCTCAACTAACACGGACCATTGATGTATGTTTTCCCAGTTTCTAATGTCGATTCAAATTTTTAACATAGTGTTCTATCGCACTCGATAACTCAGAAATTGTCTTAAAGCTATTTCAAAACAAATCATAGTTTCCTCTTAGGAATCCGAGAGAAAAATTTTTTTTTTTTTTTTTTTTTTTTTTTTTTGGTTCTTTTGTGTTTTTTGTTTTTTTTTTCTTTGTTTATTTTCCTTTTTGCTAAGCTTTCTTTTTTTTTTTTCCTGTGCATGTGTCGTTATAATTTTGCTTCTACCATGCCGCTTCGTGACTTACTTGGTAGAAGTAGGCAACCTTTAGGCAGAGCTCAGGACTATTTTTTATCAGGCACGGGTATCTGTTGAATATGGCATCAAAATTCAGTTAACCAGCGATGATAAATGCGTCACCATCTACTGTTTTAAATACCATTTATTGCACATACATTTATGAACAAATTCAATAATTTCCGTGGACCAGATAACCCAAGATATGCCGGGCTTCACAGCCTAACGAGTATCAGAAAGAACTTTCGAAATTTATTCCACTCGCGGCAGATGACTTGGTAAGTTTAGATGACCAAATGAAAATTTTCCAGAGGGTTAACTATGGACTTTGAGTTGAATGATAATAATATAACAATAATAATAATAATAATAATAATAATAATAATGTGTCCCATCCAGAGAATAAAAAGCGTGTTACACTTTTGGTCGTGTGTTTTTCGTCCTGAGGAAGGGTAACCTCTCGAAAGGTCAGCTCTAAAACTCTTCACGGTGGCCAAATTACATCATAAAACTCAGTTCATAAAACCAAATTATCCCCTACCGACACAGAATAGCGTTTTATTTGGAAACGTACCCCGCTTTATGATTACAATCGGCTCGGCATGTCCAGCCCCTTTGAGTAAAGCAACACGTGCAGTAACAAGATACTTTGTTATTTCCCAATGGAATCTTGATCCTTAACTCTAGAAAATCAAACGTTTTCTACAACCAACCGATGATGATGACGTCCGCTCTGGTTGTTCCGCGAAACGTCAATCACTACTACCGACACCAGTCCTTCTCAGGACAACACTTACTCGGACGATCAAGACAACACGTCACCATCAAATGTTACTTCCGGGCTTAATTCAAACCATTTATAGCGATATGCATTTATGATTTCATTGCATGAAAAGTTAGTTTTCCATGAAAAAAATCATTACGTAGTGCTTTTGCATTAATTTCTGACTTCTTTTTTCAAGCCAAAATCTAATAACGAATGGCTGTATAAAAACACAATCGATATCCAAAACAATACTAAGCAATTCAAGCAATTCAAGCAAGAAATCTAAAAATAAAACACATACATCATTATGTTAGTAAATTTACGCATTTGTCTTTCTTAAAAATATTTGCAACAAGGTACCTTTTTCTGTTACGCTATAAGTAACGTATTTTTTTTAAAGCGGCCTTTACTCAACTGTATCACACACAATTCTAAAGCGACTTGTACATCTATGGTTGTTCTTTTCTCATCGAAACAAGAAATATTTAGTCACAACCCAAGAATGAAATACCACGAAAGAAGGAATTCTTTAGCTGCGATAATAAATAGAGAGAGAAAAATTCACCTCCAACAAACCAACTGTCCACTCGTCAATGTCTCAGAGAAAGACCGTTACAAGTTCAAAATCAATTTTCCATATTATTTGAGAATGGATGAAGCTAAATCTCGACGACTTTGCCTTTCTTTGACACTTTTAGAGTTAAAAGAAAAAGGATTATATCGAAACAAATGTAATGTTTTACATACCGGCCACCTGCTCTTCCACCTCAAAGATGTACCTAAGATTCTTAAATACAGATTGCGTTCCGCTGACGAAACAAAATGTTACAGTTAAGCCCGTTTTAAACATCGAATTTCACATGTGCCGAGCTTAAAGCAAACGAGCGAGGACAACAGCATTTTCTCAATAGCATCAGACTCGGCACCAGCAAAATTATAGCTAAAAAAAGCTGACGTGAAAAGAAAAATAGAATAAGAAACTATCTCGAATAAAACTATATACAGTATCTAAAGCTTCACTCCAGGCGGTACAGAAATAAAATAAAATAAAAAAGAAAAAAGAAACTTACTATAAACTAGTTCAAGCTGACCTCAGATAGCTACATCTTGTTTAACTGGCTCGTCATTAAACTCGTCATTAAACTCGTGCTCTTGCCCAACTCGTGCCTCACCATTTTGAAACTAAAGAAAAATAAATTTCAAAATAGTTAACACAGAGTAGAGGTAGAATTTATACACAGCCACAACACCTAGTGATAAGCTTCTGGTGAGCAAGTGCCGTAAAACTTCCCTGCTTTGCTAAAGGTAGGTGAAATGCGAGTTTAAAACATCTTATAAAGGAAATCATAACCAACTAAAGAGGCTCTTGATTGTTAAACAAATTCTCTTAATCATTACCATATGAAAGGTATAGAGAACAGTATCGAGAATATGCATATTGATATTAGAGTGTAATGGGTTCACAACAGTTTCCTGGAACATCTGCAACACTCTTGATGCCTTCGTGTGGGTATTTTTCAAGCTTAATTTTTGTGGAAATACTTGGCTATTTAAAGTCACCATTCAGAATCTTGAGTGGTAACATTGGATTTTTTGGAGAGGTAGATATGCATAGTTATCTATTGAGAAATTCTTGACACAAAATTTATTTCAGTAACGATTACTCACTGTTAAAAGGTGCACGTTCATCTCTCCCATCTCCAAAATTATCTCTCCGTTTTCGCTCAATAATTTTCCTTTAACTTTCATGACGGAGGCGTCACTAACTGGTATGGTGTAGACGACATTCTCTGCCAGCTTCATATGGTGGATCTTCTTCCTTTCGATCTGGAAAATAATGCGTAATTGGTTACACACTTAGCTGATTTACGATAAATCGAACAACCACAATTGTCATTCTATGTATGAAATTTACCAACCAATGTACATGCCTTCTGAGGCAAGAGACGAATAGAAGTTGTTCGCAGCCTCAGAGCAAGGATTTCACTAAAGAAAACTACAGAGATTCCAAAATGTAAATTGCGATGATACAATGCAAGATGCAAGATGTGGCCAGATATATGGAAATGGTTTTGACCTAATTCAAGTCTACATATCTATTCAACGCTCTGGTAAACCCATTGAGCACTTTTTAGCTGATGGTCAGTTTATGAATAACGTCATTTTATATATAGTAGGTAGCGATCAAACAAGACGACACATGGTTTCTGTTACTCGGAGTTTCGTGCCTACGCACTCGTCAGACAGATTTAATGATGAGTGCGTAAGCACGAAACTCCGAGCAACAGAATCCATGTGTCGTCTTGTTTGATCGCCACCTACTGTATTAAGCTCTGCGCATTTGTATTGAGCACTATTCAACGGTAACGGCTACTTCCTCACACGTATATAGACTTTCCTAGTTTGAGCACTCTGGCATGGCTTAGACGATACCACAAATGTGGGATCCTTTGGGGTGACCAGATCGGTTCTCCCCCATCCTTGCATCAGCACTGCACCGATGAGGCCCAGAAGGCCGAAAGAGTTCTGCCTGCAGTTATATATAATATATATATATTAAATATATATAGGTAGCGATCAAACAAGACGACACATGGTTTCTGTTACTCGGAGTTTCGTGCCTACGCACTCGTCAGACAGATTTAATGATGAGTGCGTAAGCACGAAACTCCGAGCAACAGAATCCATGTGTCGTCTTGTTTGATCGCCACCTACTGTATTAAGCTCTGCGCATTTGTATTGAGCACTATTCAACGGTAACGGCTACTTCCTCACACGTATATAGACTTTCCTAGTTTGAGCACTCTGGCATGGCTTAGACGATACCACAAATGTGGGATCCTTTGGGGTGACCAGATCGGTTCTCCCCCATCCTTGCATCAGCACTGCACCGATGAGGCCCAGAAGGCCGAAAGAGTTCTGCCTGCAGTTATATATAATATATATATATTAAATATATATAGGTAGCGATCAAACAAGACGACACATGGTTTCTGTTACTCGGAGTTTCGTGCCTACGCACTCGTCAGACAGATTTAATGATGAGTGCGTAAGCACGAAACTCCGAGCAACAGAATCCATGTGTCGTCTTGTTTGATCGCCACCTACTGTATTAAGCTCTGCGCATTTGTATTGAGCACTATTCAACGGTAACGGCTACTTCCTCACACGTATATAGACTTTCCTAGTTTGAGCACTCTGGCATGGCTTAGACGATACCACAAATGTGGGATCCTTTGGGGTGACCAGATCGGTTCTCCCCCATCCTTGCATCAGCACTGCACCGATGAGGCCCAGAAGGCCGAAAGAGTTCTGCCTGCAGTTATATATAATATATATATATTAAATATATATAGGTAGCGATCAAACAAGACGACACATGGTTTCTGTTACTCGGAGTTTCGTGCCTACGCACTCGTCAGACAGATTTAATGATGAGTGCGTAAGCACGAAACTCCGAGCAACAGAATCCATGTGTCGTCTTGTTTGATCGCCACCTACTGTATTAAGCTCTGCGCATTTGTATTGAGCACTATTCAACGGTAACGGCTACTTCCTCACACGTATATAGACTTTCCTAGTTTGAGCACTCTGGCATGGCTTAGACGATACCACAAATGTGGGATCCTTTGGGGTGACCAGATCGGTTCTCCCCCATCCTTGCATCAGCACTGCACCGATGAGGCCCAGAAGGCCGAAAGAGTTCTGCCTGCAGTTATATATAATATATATATATTAAATATATATAGGTAGCGATCAAACAAGACGACACATGGTTTCTGTTACTCGGAGTTTCGTGCCTACGCACTCGTCAGACAGATTTAATGATGAGTGCGTAAGCACGAAACTCCGAGCAACAGAATCCATGTGTCGTCTTGTTTGATCGCCACCTACTGTATTAAGCTCTGCGCATTTGTATTGAGCACTATTCAACGGTAACGGCTACTTCCTCACACGTATATAGACTTTCCTAGTTTGAGCACTCTGGCATGGCTTAGACGATACCACAAATGTGGGATCCTTTGGGGTGACCAGATCGGTTCTCCCCCATCCTTGCATCAGCACTGCACCGATGAGGCCCAGAAGGCCGAAAGAGTTCTGCCTGCAGTTATATATAATATATATATATTAAATATATATAGGTAGCGATCAAACAAGACGACACATGGTTTCTGTTACTCGGAGTTTCGTGCCTACGCACTCGTCAGACAGATTTAATGATGAGTGCGTAAGCACGAAACTCCGAGCAACAGAATCCATGTGTCGTCTTGTTTGATCGCCACCTACTGTATTAAGCTCTGCGCATTTGTATTGAGCACTATTCAACGGTAACGGCTACTTCCTCACACGTATATAGACTTTCCTAGTTTGAGCACTCTGGCATGGCTTAGACGATACCACAAATGTGGGATCCTTTGGGGTGACCAGATCGGTTCTCCCCCATCCTTGCATCAGCACTGCACCGATGAGGCCCAGAAGGCCGAAAGAGTTCTGCCTGCAGTTATATATAATATATATATATTAAATATATATAGGTAGCGATCAAACAAGACGACACATGGTTTCTGTTACTCGGAGTTTCGTGCCTACGCACTCGTCAGACAGATTTAATGATGAGTGCGTAAGCACGAAACTCCGAGCAACAGAATCCATGTGTCGTCTTGTTTGATCGCCACCTACTGTATTAAGCTCTGCGCATTTGTATTGAGCACTATTCAACGGTAACGGCTACTTCCTCACACGTATATAGACTTTCCTAGTTTGAGCACTCTGGCATGGCTTAGACGATACCACAAATGTGGGATCCTTTGGGGTGACCAGATCGGTTCTCCCCCATCCTTGCATCAGCACTGCACCGATGAGGCCCAGAAGGCCGAAAGAGTTCTGCCTGCAGTTATATATAATATATATATATTAAATATATATAGGTAGCGATCAAACAAGACGACACATGGTTTCTGTTACTCGGAGTTTCGTGCCTACGCACTCGTCAGACAGATTTAATGATGAGTGCGTAAGCACGAAACTCCGAGCAACAGAATCCATGTGTCGTCTTGTTTGATCGCCACCTACTGTATTAAGCTCTGCGCATTTGTATTGAGCACTATTCAACGGTAACGGCTACTTCCTCACACGTATATAGACTTTCCTAGTTTGAGCACTCTGGCATGGCTTAGACGATACCACAAATGTGGGATCCTTTGGGGTGACCAGATCGGTTCTCCCCCATCCTTGCATCAGCACTGCACCGATGAGGCCCAGAAGGCCGAAAGAGTTCTGCCTGCAGTTATATATAATATATATATATTAAATATATATAGGTAGCGATCAAACAAGACGACACATGGTTTCTGTTACTCGGAGTTTCGTGCCTACGCACTCGTCAGACAGATTTAATGATGAGTGCGTAAGCACGAAACTCCGAGCAACAGAATCCATGTGTCGTCTTGTTTGATCGCCACCTACTGTATTAAGCTCTGCGCATTTGTATTGAGCACTATTCAACGGTAACGGCTACTTCCTCACACGTATATAGACTTTCCTAGTTTGAGCACTCTGGCATGGCTTAGACGATACCACAAATGTGGGATCCTTTGGGGTGACCAGATCGGTTCTCCCCCATCCTTGCATCAGCACTGCACCGATGAGGCCCAGAAGGCCGAAAGAGTTCTGCCTGCAGTTATATATAATATATATATATTAAATATATATAGGTAGCGATCAAACAAGACGACACATGGTTTCTGTTACTCGGAGTTTCGTGCCTACGCACTCGTCAGACAGATTTAATGATGAGTGCGTAAGCACGAAACTCCGAGCAACAGAATCCATGTGTCGTCTTGTTTGATCGCCACCTACTGTATTAAGCTCTGCGCATTTGTATTGAGCACTATTCAACGGTAACGGCTACTTCCTCACACGTATATAGACTTTCCTAGTTTGAGCACTCTGGCATGGCTTAGACGATACCACAAATGTGGGATCCTTTGGGGTGACCAGATCGGTTCTCCCCCATCCTTGCATCAGCACTGCACCGATGAGGCCCAGAAGGCCGAAAGAGTTCTGCCTGCAGTTATATATAATATATATATATTAAATATATATAGGTAGCGATCAAACAAGACGACACATGGTTTCTGTTACTCGGAGTTTCGTGCCTACGCACTCGTCAGACAGATTTAATGATGAGTGCGTAAGCACGAAACTCCGAGCAACAGAATCCATGTGTCGTCTTGTTTGATCGCCACCTACTGTATTAAGCTCTGCGCATTTGTATTGAGCACTATTCAACGGTAACGGCTACTTCCTCACACGTATATAGACTTTCCTAGTTTGAGCACTCTGGCATGGCTTAGACGATACCACAAATGTGGGATCCTTTGGGGTGACCAGATCGGTTCTCCCCCATCCTTGCATCAGCACTGCACCGATGAGGCCCAGAAGGCCGAAAGAGTTCTGCCTGCAGTTATATATAATATATATATATTAAATATATATAGGTAGCGATCAAACAAGACGACACATGGTTTCTGTTACTCGGAGTTTCGTGCCTACGCACTCGTCAGACAGATTTAATGATGAGTGCGTAAGCACGAAACTCCGAGCAACAGAATCCATGTGTCGTCTTGTTTGATCGCCACCTACTGTATTAAGCTCTGCGCATTTGTATTGAGCACTATTCAACGGTAACGGCTACTTCCTCACACGTATATAGACTTTCCTAGTTTGAGCACTCTGGCATGGCTTAGACGATACCACAAATGTGGGATCCTTTGGGGTGACCAGATCGGTTCTCCCCCATCCTTGCATCAGCACTGCACCGATGAGGCCCAGAAGGCCGAAAGAGTTCTGCCTGCAGTTATATATAATATATATATATTAAATATATATAGGTAGCGATCAAACAAGACGACACATGGTTTCTGTTACTCGGAGTTTCGTGCCTACGCACTCGTCAGACAGATTTAATGATGAGTGCGTAAGCACGAAACTCCGAGCAACAGAATCCATGTGTCGTCTTGTTTGATCGCCACCTACTGTATTAAGCTCTGCGCATTTGTATTGAGCACTATTCAACGGTAACGGCTACTTCCTCACACGTATATAGACTTTCCTAGTTTGAGCACTCTGGCATGGCTTAGACGATACCACAAATGTGGGATCCTTTGGGGTGACCAGATCGGTTCTCCCCCATCCTTGCATCAGCACTGCACCGATGAGGCCCAGAAGGCCGAAAGAGTTCTGCCTGCAGTTATATATAATATATATATATTAAATATATATAGGTAGCGATCAAACAAGACGACACATGGTTTCTGTTACTCGGAGTTTCGTGCCTACGCACTCGTCAGACAGATTTAATGATGAGTGCGTAAGCACGAAACTCCGAGCAACAGAATCCATGTGTCGTCTTGTTTGATCGCCACCTACTGTATTAAGCTCTGCGCATTTGTATTGAGCACTATTCAACGGTAACGGCTACTTCCTCACACGTATATAGACTTTCCTAGTTTGAGCACTCTGGCATGGCTTAGACGATACCACAAATGTGGGATCCTTTGGGGTGACCAGATCGGTTCTCCCCCATCCTTGCATCAGCACTGCACCGATGAGGCCCAGAAGGCCGAAAGAGTTCTGCCTGCAGTTATATATAATATATATATATTAAATATATATAGGTAGCGATCAAACAAGACGACACATGGTTTCTGTTACTCGGAGTTTCGTGCCTACGCACTCGTCAGACAGATTTAATGATGAGTGCGTAAGCACGAAACTCCGAGCAACAGAATCCATGTGTCGTCTTGTTTGATCGCCACCTACTGTATTAAGCTCTGCGCATTTGTATTGAGCACTATTCAACGGTAACGGCTACTTCCTCACACGTATATAGACTTTCCTAGTTTGAGCACTCTGGCATGGCTTAGACGATACCACAAATGTGGGATCCTTTGGGGTGACCAGATCGGTTCTCCCCCATCCTTGCATCAGCACTGCACCGATGAGGCCCAGAAGGCCGAAAGAGTTCTGCCTGCAGTTATATATAATATATATATATTAAATATATATAGGTAGCGATCAAACAAGACGACACATGGTTTCTGTTACTCGGAGTTTCGTGCCTACGCACTCGTCAGACAGATTTAATGATGAGTGCGTAAGCACGAAACTCCGAGCAACAGAATCCATGTGTCGTCTTGTTTGATCGCCACCTACTGTATTAAGCTCNTTTTTTTCCTGGTGTGATGAGAAGGAGAAAAGGGAATTTTTTCTGTGTCGCCCATGACTGATTACAATTTTTGAAATACATTAAAAGTAGGAAACTACCCAAAGTCATATCGTGTAGAAAAGGAAACCATTTTTGAAAATGCAGAAGAGGCTTGATTCATCTACATGTATCTCTCCAGATTTTTACCATGAATGTGTCTGCTTCACAAGTAAAACTGATTTTCAAGTTTTCTTTAATCATATCTTATACTAAGATGATGACAAGCTGGTTTAATAATATATATATATATATATATATATATATATATATATATATATATATATATATAACTGCAGACAGTGCACACTGTTTCGACCTATGTGGGTCTCATCAGTGCAGTGCAGACACTGGGCCAAGCTCTGGAATAAACCATTGCCTGGGCGCTACACTTGTGGGACCAAGTGCAGGCATGTTGCCATGCGAGAGTGCTCAAATCACAACTAAGGTGATGAGCTTCGCCCGAAGGCTAAGTGCATGGCATATATTGCGCTCTACTTTTATGTATCGAGCACTGTTATACGGAAAAATCGAAACACAGACTTCCTAATTGGCCCCAGGTTAACACTTGATGAGCACTCTACGATAATCCACAATGGAAAAGTTTAACATTGGCTACTCTACAAAGAATATTCCTCTACCATCACGGAACGACTATTTACAACGACTCGTCGAAAAAACCGAGCTGAGGTTTTACGTAGAATGCGCTGGAAAGCTCATTTCTTCCTCAACCCCGACACAACCAAGCCCTCGAAAGACACATACGGCTTCAAGTCTACCAAGAACCGACCTCCGATCGATGAAGAGGGATAAAAACTTAGTTGTTGTATTTTTCTACTAAACATATATTTATATGTATATTTAACTAACTAACTGCAGACAGTACTGTTTCGGTCCTTCTGGGCCTCATCAGTGCAGCGCTGACTGTAGGATGGAGGTATGGCCATATAGCCATGTAGTCACTTCAAATGACTCCACATTTGTGTCATCATCTAAGCCATGCTAGAGTGCTCAAAATAGTAACTAGTGAGCTCTGACAGTGAGGCATCACCTCTTTCTCAGCGTGAAAGTCTTCCATGGATAGCCGTCCAATAAGTTTTTCCCCTTGAGGTTTCTTCCATCGGAAACTGTCTGAGAATATCTCCGTTATGTTTGGATCACCTTGCAGCTTCTATGAACAGTTCACAATAAGAAGATAACTTACATCTTCATACTCACAAATGTTCTTTCTCTCTTCGGGTACAAGGTCCTCAAATTTGGAATGACATTCCTCTCTCACTTCGTAATTCACTTACTCTTTCTAGTTATAAAGGTAAACTGAGAGATCATTTTCAATCATTATAAGTTTAAACTAAGTTGAACTCAAATTTAAATTTACTTTTACTATTATTACTTTCTGCACACTACCATTATTTATGTTTATTTAGCTTTATATGCAGTAATGAATTTTTATGTTGTAATTGTTTGCCTTTTCTCCGTAAATCTTGTATTTACTGTTATATACAGTACTGTTTCGGCCTTCTGGGCCTCATCAGTGCAGTGCTGATGCTAGGATGGGGGAGAACCGATATGGATCCCCAAACGATCCCACACTTGAGTTATCGTTTAAGCCATGCCAGAGTGCTCAAACTAGAAGGGCCTAGTGAGCTATGATCGATTTAGTCGCAGATTGTAACTCTCTGACTTATGCCATATAAGCCTCTGGCTTTGGCATCTCATTATCGTTGTGCATAATTATTGTTAAAGATTAATGAAGATTAATGCAGAGTCGACATGAATGCATATAGTAGTCACAAGATACAGGTTTAGGACTAAAGAAACAAATACTTTGTTCGAGATCGCTTCAACCGCAGCTCAACGCTTAATCTTCACATAGATTTTTTGAGGCTGCTTCCCAAAAGTGAAAACGAAAACGAGGGGTTTGGTGGTGAAAATGGTAAATTTCAAAGAGTGGGTAGTCGGGTTAGTCTTCTCCAGGCTGTCAGTAATCCCATCAAGCCAAAATGGGGGCTTCCACATTCGGTGGGAATGGCTGATCAATCGGAAGAATGGATAGTCAAGTTCGCTGACTAACTTTCGAACTGTCTGGCCTGCTAATTTGCAGAATGTTTGATTGTCTGACTAACTGACTTGCTGACTGACTGACTAAATGACTGACTGATTGGCTGACTATCAGAAATTAGAACATAGCTAGCAGAATCGCGCAGTTAAATTCATTATACGTGAGCGTGCTCAAAATCCCGATAGTGCACGCTGATAGCGTCAGCAAATCCTACTTCGCCAGAACTTTTTTTTTCGCGCGAGCGGCCATTGTTAGCGCGGGGAAAAATAATATATTTCGCGACAATAATGGATACAAACAAACTCGGCATACTAGTCCGAAAACGAAGACAATGTTTCGACCTTTTCCCTTGGGCTAGAACTCTTAAATGAGGCAGAAAGAAAGAAAAACAAAGGAAAAGGAGACTCGGAAACAGCGCCGTCACGATTCGCTTCAACTGATATTGTTGTCCGTTTTTTGCGTCTGATTTGATGCACAATTCCACCGGCTATGTTCTAAAACAATTGGTTCATGCTTTCAGCTGTGCACTATCGAGTTCTGGAGCACGTGGGAAGTTTGGAAAGCACTCAAGAAGCTAGAGTTGCCCTCGGCTATCGCTTCGGGCAACTCTTACGCTTCTTTCGTGCTCTCCAAACTTCCCGCGTGCTCCATAACTCGATAGTGCACGCTAAAGCATGAACCAATTGTTAAGTAACTGACTGGTTAGTGGACCGATAGCTTGTTTAACTGGCAGACTGCGCTGAACAACCCGATCTTACTCTGAGAATATCCAAGCGGCCAGAATCCTCTAAGGCCCGGGTGACGTACATGACCAGCTGGTGCAGTAATCCTGTTCCACCATTTGTCTCTGGTCGTACATAACTGAAAATATCCACCATGTAATAGTCGTTATCGACGCAGGTTTCTTGGATGCGCAGTGGAACGTTATCGGACATTATAACGCTGTGGACAGCGGTTTGATGTTACTTCTTTAGTGCAAACTGCAGTCTTAAAAAAAAAGGAATTAGAACAAAAAAAGATTGTAGAATATACGAAAAAGGAGAGGCGCATGTATATTACGTCGGTGTTCTCATGTTGCATTGATGTTGTCTAAATAACTTGTGAATTCTCATAAGATTTAACAAATATAGTTAATATTGGGCTGGTAGACAGTCTGACAATATAATTAACACCGTGCTTTAATCTGGTTTTTGGTATCCTCTGTCAATGACAGTAAATGATAGTTGAAACTATCATCTACTATCATCAACTTCTATGACTTTTGAACGGGGCTTTAGTTAAATTAGAAACTTGGACAGGGAGGTATGCTGACTTGTACGTCGCACAGATTGCGGGCTCGGATATACAGTCTTTGTCTTTACTTGCCTGAGTAGACCTTATTGGAGTCTTATTAGCTTTGGCTCTCGTGATGATACTCTAGAGAGTCATTTCTTTCAAACTCTCGAATATCTATATTGAGGGGATATGAATATAGACAAAGTAATTATTCTCTCCGCCTCTATTATCTTCTCCTGATCTTGAAATGCATGCAACAAATTCGACAAACGAATGAGGTTTTGAGTGGGTCTGTATCAATTTTTTATCCTCGGTGACATGCATTTAATAGGTGGAAATACAAAGAAGCTGCTAATCAGCACATCATCACAAATCTCCGGCTCAGTTGGCCAAAAACAAAATGACGTTTAACTCAATTCTGGAGCACGTCATCCATGACTGAACTCAATGACAAACACGGCAATCGTATGATCTGTCTCGTCATTCACCAACAATTACATGCCTTATGCACTAAAACAGCTAGGACTGACGAAAGACTTCCAACGAGGCCCAAAATAATCAGCAACAGTGAGTTGCCAAGATCATTGATCCTTGACTTATTTTAGGACCTAATCATCCTCTTGTTTTGCTCTCGCTTAACGTTACCCTTGTGGTCAGGAAAGTTGAGAATAGAAGCCTAAGAACAAAACTATCTTAGGGACGAAAAGAAAAGAAGAATGAATGATTCATTAGACAATTGCCTGCCATGAGATGCACATCGCTCATCGGTATAAGCAATGCTTTCTGACCTACGTCACCTGCAGAGAAAGAAGCTGACTGGAGTCGGTGCGAGCCTGCAATGTGTCATGAACTCTAGTGAGGATTCTTTGGCGCGAGAGCTGTCATTTTATATTCTCAACGTGAATGTCCGCTTTAACAATAATGCGCAGGCAAAGATGAGCGATTGCATCAGAGGCTTATTATATTTTTATATTTAGGACTTTATTACATTTAGGTTATTGCATTTAGGCCTTTAGGGATAATTGTTTCTTTCTTCTAATGGACAATAAATTCAGTGAACCTCTGCAAAGAATGTTGTCACAGGAAGTTTTTAATGTATTCACAAAAATAGAAGTCACTTGACGTAAGGGGGGGAGGGGGTTTCCCCTATGAACAAACAAAACAAACAAAACAAACAAAATGTAACGAAACACCTAAAGTATTTTCTCTTCCGAGTTAGTAAATGGAAGCAAATGGAACATGTGTCGGCGTTAACTAAGTCATCACAATCACTGCAGACACTTATTTGATATTTCAACCACAACAGCCTGTCAAATAGGATCAGACGTTTGTAAATCAATGGCCCTGGTGATTCATACCTTCAAGCCTTCCGAAACCAAAACGATGAATATATGTTCAATTCCTTCTTCGAATATTTGCAGGGTGCGATGGTCTTGTGAGCTGAATTTTGTATTCGCAACCGATAGCTAATTTGATCCAGTTACGATATTTTCGGAGCCTCCGTATTAAACGAATGCTCCGATGCTAGCTCCCTTATCCACGCTACAAATCTGCTTCTCAAACGTACACTTGTTTTCAAAATCGCTTCATTGCTTGAATGGGAGATGGACTTTGTACCGAGATTTATTTTCTTCCCATAGCAAGGGGAATCCCTATTCACTTTCGACTTAAAACTGCTTTCACATCAAAAATGAACGACCTCTATTTTTTCCTTATAAGGAAAATTATGTTCTCAGTCTTTGTGAACGTTTTCCAGTTTTCTTTTGAAATATACAATAATCTAGGGACTCTGGCTTTGGCGAAAGAGCTTATCTTGGAAGAAATTTTGCGTTTCTCGATCTTTCCCCGCTAAACTTGGCGAAAGCGCTTTCCTAAGATGTCTTTAGCTAGATTTTTGTTTATCACATCTCGGGATTGGATGACTTCCAAAGCGTCAAAAATCTGCTTTATTGCAAATTTTGCTTTCGAGGGAAAAACCCCTGCCCTTTGTTTATATTTTCGCTTTATTTATTTGAAACCCGTTTCAAAACAGGTCTCTTACTTTGGTGCTTTTGCAAGATTTGCTCTTTGCAGCACAATAACGGAAGAAAGAGTCAGTAAGAGAAACAAAAATCTTATGAGAACTTTAGTTTTGTCTTTTGATTATTTTTAAACCTTCCCAGACGGTGACCACGACGGTTGATGACCTGCCTGTGTTATGTTCAATTGGTGGTCTCAGTTTTCATTTTTTATGAACACATTAACCTTTATCTTTTAGCTATATCTTGTAACTTCAAAGATCAAATGGACATTGACGACTTCGATAGGCATTATTGGCACCATTCAATGCCTATCTCTTATTGTTTTCATCACTGGTTTCGCTAGAAAACGCTTCGTTTCTAAAATGTTTTTGAATTAAAATATTTAATTAGGGGTAAATCCCTTTTTCCGCTTTCATTTCGGTTCAAGTTTGGTCATAAATTGTGAAACGCGTCCGGACAAACTCCACTTACTCAGTGCAATCCAAGCTGTACGAGGGAGAGCGATGTTTACAGTGTCAAAACCATGTGAAGCTCAGGAAAAGGCAGAAATTCGGACCAACACCAAGAATGCGTCCAGGTAGGTCACTACATATGCAATCAACCGAAGCACAAATCTGGAGAATACGAACGCTATTTCTTTCATGGATTAATTCAGCCATAGGAGTGAACATAGTAAAAAAGCGAAAGTGCTTCGTGTATAATATTTTAAATCTGTGTTGTATATCACCGAATTTTAAAATAGGTATCATAAAACAGGCAAAGATATCTCCATTGCGGCTGCTCGTCCTCGCTTGCACATTGATGACACTTTTGTTTTATCCTTGCTGGAAAATTAACAATTATGTCCCTTTTATCCAAAGCTGTTCAACATATGAAAACAATTCACCTTTGGGAGGAAATTGTCTTAGGTCAGCAGATCTTAGCAATAAATTCTTTCACTCTTCTATTTTTTGTTTGTTTGTTTGTTTGATTGTTTGTTTGTTTTATTGCAACATGCCGGATGAGCTCGAATTGAGAGTGAAATTTCTTTAATAAGTTGTCATATTATGAAGGAAAAGGTTCTGGAGCACTTCCAGAGATTCTTATTGTTATCATCATCATCAACGCCACCAACGTCATCACCGTCATCATTCTTGTCATCATCGTTATCATAATCATCATCGTTATCATAATCATCATCATTAAGATCATCGTCATTCCCATTATCATAACTTTCATCATCGTTATCATTATCATTAAGCCGATTTATCTGTCTATCCACTGATCTATCGATCTATCAATCTACCTATTTAACGGCTATCGCCCCGCGCGACTCTTAAGCTTCTTTCGTGCCTAGCAAACCTCCCAAGTGCATCCATAACTCAATACTGTACACTGTGGCGTTTACCATTTGTTTTATAACACAACATTGATATATTGTAGCGAAAGAGTTTTCTTTTACTTCACAAATCTTACGAGACCAGAAAAAACAAGCGCGCGCAGAAAACTACTCTTTTCACTTGCTCACGTCCGCAGCGTACACCTACGGGCAAATGGTGGACGCTGAATCGACCAATCAGAGCGCGCGCTTTGCTTTGGTTATCTTATAAAGATCTGTCTTTTTGCTTGTTCATCAGACAATTTTTAAGCGTTAGACCTTCGTCGTAACTCTTTACGCTAGTCAATTTACAATTTCAACTTAGTTGATATAACCAAATTACCTTGTTACCCCCATGGACGCAGCACCATAGCTTTTTTAGAAACTTACCCCCCTTTAGAAAAATGTTAAGTCATTTTAAGTCTATTATGATTCATCGATGGTGTAGCACTCGTTCACTTTTCTGATTCTTGATGCTGTTTTTGTTTTTGCTGTATTTAAAAGCGGGTAACACGACTGATATCATATCTTTATCTTTAACAGCAGTGATGGTCAGCGGCCATTATGTAATAAATCAAAATGGGCCCCTTCCTCCACAGCCCATTTTGATCGAACACTGCTGTTTGATGGTAAAGGGAAACGCATGGGATATCTCTATTAAATGCCGGCCACATTCCAATCAACGCAAGAAAAATGAAAACTGGATAAATATCAATGAAGTATATCCTGATGCCAAAGTGGAGAGAAAACGTAACGACATCCAGCTAACCTTGCCTTTGCTGAGAGAAAATCTTGAAGTGGCAGCCTTTGGAGTTCCAGGAAAAGATGACCAGAAGCGAATGCAAATGGCGATCTTTGGAAAGGAGCCAACTAAAGGCTGCGACTGGAAGATTAGGATTTATCTGATAGATGACTCCGAAATGGCGTTCAAGGTAACACATTTACTCCTAGTCATAATAATTATTTTTTTTTTTGTCTTGTTCTTTTTTTCTAGGAAAAAGAAAAGAAAGAGAGGAACAAAAGAACATACATAAACTTTTTTTTTTTCTCAAATTTAAGAGTAGCTTGTAAAAACTAATTTTTCCGAGAGAGAAATAACAATTAACAAAAGAATAAAGGCTGATAGTTTCGAAAGAAACTGTTTGGGGCTGCGTCGGTGGGAGTAACGCAATAATTTGGATATATCAACAAAGTTGAAATGGCAAATTGGCCACCGTAATGATTACAAAAGCTGACGTTTCGAGCGTTAGCCCTTCGTCTTTCGCTCCGACGAAGGGCTAACGCTCGAAACGTCAGCTTTTGTAATCATTACGGTGGCCAATTTACCATTTCAACTTTGTTGATATATCCACATTAACAAAAGAAATCGACATAATATACAATGGCATTATAAAAAAAAATCTCGTGCAATATTTATAATTAACAGCTAAAATGAAATAAATAGATTTACTGAATATTAAAAATACAATATCAATTCAATTACAATATGTTCTAAAATTACATCAATTTAAAGCTAGCTAATGCTTTTTTAAAGTCATTAAGGTTCAGGGTTCAAACATTGTCCGGTAGTGAATTCCATCATGATAGTTTAACGGCATGATAAGAAAAAGAGCGAAGGCCATAAGAAGTAGACTTAACAACAGGGAGTTTCAGAATGTAGTTACCGCGTAAATTATAAGTGGTATTACGAAAAGTAAACATATTCCTCATGTAGAAGAAAAGGAACGTTATTGCCTCAATGACCTCAAATATTTCATGCTCAGATAAATCTTTTGAATTCGGCCTGCATTTCTGTATCCTAATTTAGTTTATCGTTTGTTTTCATAAGTTAGTTTATTGCTATTGTTTTTTGCATGTTTGTTTGACTCGTTTGTTCGTTTGTTCACTTGATCTTTTAGGCCTCTTTTCCTTTTATTCAATTTACAGCAGATTTGTAAGAAAGGAGAAGATTCAGGAATCAAATTGTTGACAACACTGTCCAGCTTGTTTGTATCCAACAGTAAACAAGATATCAGCATAGAGTTTATCGACTTGGATCCGGGGTGGCAAATCGTTGGGGAGAAATTGAACGTAAGCTAGTCAATAGGGAATGAGTGTGTTCTTAGATAGTGTGACTTTCAGCTATAACTGAACCTACAAGCGAGAGTTCGTTTCAATGCTAAAACACGCATTTTACCTGCAAATAGCGCCTGACACTGCAATCATTTAAGGGTTCTGATTCCCAGATTCTGAGCTTCTATGAAATCCTCTTCCTTAGACGATAGCGTCAGGAGATGCCTGGAATTCTCAAGAAAATGCGACAGGTTTTCCTTGCTGTGATTTTGTTGTGAGACACGTTGATATGACAAAGCAGCAGTTCTTCTGTACAATAAGGGCAAAACACGAAGACGACAGCGCTAGTAACGAGGTCGTGGCCTTTTTCCAACAGGTAAATAACCTCATTATAATCTTTACCTCATTCATGTTATATCTTTACGGTTATCTTACAGCTATCGAATTTACGAGACAATTTACAACGGAAAAGGTCAAATTAGCGATTGCTCTTCATTAAAGAAGGATGAATAAACGTGGCTAAAACAATAATGTCAAAAAGTGTGGTAAGCAATCTAATAGTTTATCTGTAAGTGAAGACAACTCAATTATTCAACTTAAAAAGAAAAACAAACAAACAAAACAAAACAAAATAGAGAGAAAAAACTAAGCAAAACAAGACAAAACATTACTAAAAAGAGAGTAAGAAAAACTGATAAAGAACTAGTTTTACAACGACAGAGGTGGCTAACTTCAGGATAGGCAATGAATCAATTCCGTCTCCTTCTTTTGTTGTTCCCCAGAGCAGTGGTACCAAGATCATCAACTTAACTGGAAAAAAACTCAAGAACACTTTTCAGATGAAATGCTCGAAAGGTAGGACAAATTTATGATTTTTTATGATTATACGAAGTTATACTTTCCAGGTCGAATTTAGCTATAGGTCCCTCAATCAAATACATTCAATGTCTTTTAGCTGTCCCCAGGGGTTAAAGAGAGAACGCGGTGAAAATATGCAGTTCTCGCCGAGCTTTACGTGAGCCGAGCTTACGAAAGAAGATGATTACTACAATATTTCTTACGTCTAATAGACTAGGACTGTTTGGTTGAAAGCCCCTCAGCAGTTAACTCGTGAGATGAAATTGGTATCTTTGGATTTTTTCTAACGACAACAGGATGGGTCACGCTTATTCGGGTTAGTAACTCAGAAGTGGAAATTATCCAGCTTTAAAACTTTTGGTGGGGAATGTTCGATTAATCATTAAATAATCAAAGCATGAATTCGTTCATTCACTAATCCATTCATTCATTCATTCCATCAGAATGCAATGCTGCTGGATGACGTCTCTGAAACGGATTGTCGGTATTCAACTTCAGTACCAAGCCTTGCAGCTTTGCATAGGCGTTATGATTTTCACCGTCCACTATAGACACGCTAAGGCTAATCAGGAATCTCTAAAAATAACAAGAAAAGCCACCAATCGAATGGCAACAGGGACGGATCTAAATAGTGTTAAATTAATCTTTACTTAGTCAGAAACATAACTAAAAAGAGTAGAATGTAGCAAGTCAAATTGATATGTAGTGGCTGACTATTTTTGCCACTTTTATGCACCAAGCTAAATGCCACTTCTCAATCGGTCAGCACTTTAAGCAGTCAATTAAAATCAAATATGTCCGGCCGTTGGAAATTTTCTTGTCTGATTCTTGTTTGATGACTCTTTTCTATATTTGTTCATTCCTTTTCCTTTTCTGTTTTTTTTTTTTAATTTTATTTCTATTTGATTTACTCCTTCATCTTATCTTTACAAATTATTCATGTTAACTTTTTTATTTGGAAGAAGTTTTATCTTCTTTTTTGATGTTCGAGTACTGCATGTTCTATATGTTCCATTTTCAAAATTCGAGAGGAGCTGAACCAAGAAGATGGCGTTAAATAAGCAATGCGACACGCTTTTGCGACTTGAGCAATATCAGATTGAAAACTTAGAAAACAATCGAAAACTTTTCCCTCGTAACCATACGACCGCATATGTTGATTCGACTAATTGCCTTCAAGCAAGATTAACCCATACATCTGTACATTCAAGCTCACCCCCGCATTCCCCCTAGACGTTTGCATGGTCGTTAGGGAGAGAGACGTTTTCTTTCCCTTGGTGCCGAGTTTTTTGAGGAGATCTTCTGTGCAGAACGACGTGTTTGAGCCTGAATCCAAAAAAGCGTGCGTTAGTACTTTCTTGTTGCTGCCTTTTACTTTAACTTTCACGGGGACTATTGACAGTCCTATCACAGGGCCACTGGTTCCTTGAGATGCGCCGACGGAGCTTAAGTAACTGTTACTCGCTTGAGCTGCACTTAGAGTTGCCGGTGGTTCGGTTTGACTTTCTTTCCCACTCTGACCTGGTGGCATTTCTTTTGCATGTAGATAAGTCGAATGCTTCTTTGTGCATCCTTGAACGCGGCAAAAGCTCCGCTTTGGGCAGTCTTGAACGAAATGGCCAGGAACTAAACAGTTGATGCATAGCTTATTTGCGCGAACGAACTGATAGCGGTTGCTTATGCTTAGCTTCTTGAACTCTTCACATTGTGATAGCCAGTGGTTTCTTTTACATGAAGGGCATTTTAATTCCTTTCTTTCTTCTTTAGTGTTCGCCCGCTGTGAGGGGGGTTGCTCTAGTCCTTGCGTGGAGAAGGTTTTACCGTCTCGTCTGCCTCTAATGGTTGGTTTCGAATTAAAGGGTGGCCTCTGTTCGCTATGGACCTTGCCGAAAATGGGATGATTTGTCGCTCTTGATCTTGCTTCTACGAACTCCGATATGTCCTTCAGGTTGGGATCCCTATTTTCCTTCTGGGAGATCGCGTCCACAAGGTCACGCCATTTTAGCCTCAGTTGC